TATCTTGAACGGACCATCAGCTCTTGGAGACAACTTGGTGTTTGGCTGTTTAGGAAATTATTCCTTTCGTAGATGTATCCAAACCAAATCTCCTACCTTAAAAGTCTGCTGTCTTTGATGCTTGTCACGTTGAGCTTTGTATCTCAAATTCTGCTTTTGGATTCGCTCGCGGACTTGCTCATGCAACTTCTTAATTTCCTTAGCCCTTTGGTCAGTATCAAAGCTGTATTGCTGCTTATCAATCGAAGGGCTCAAGTTTAGTGGACTAAGGGGATGAGTGCCATAAACAACTTCAAACGGACACTTTCCAGTTGCTTGATTGACAGAGTTATTATAAGCAAACTCAACTTGAGCAAGAATAAGATCCCACTGCTTCAAATTCTTCCCCACGAAACTGCGAAGAAGATTACCAAGAATTCTATTTATAGCTTCAGTTTGACCATCTGTCTGGGGATGACTAGCGCTGCTAAATTAGAGCTTAGTTCCCATCTTCTTCCATAGCGTCCGCCAAAAGTAGCTAAGAAACTTCACATCACGGTCAGAAGTGATAGTTTTAGGAATGCCATGAAGACACACAATCTCCTTAAAGTACAAGCTGCTACTTGAACGGCATCATTTGTCTTCTGGCATGGGATAAAATAGGCCATTTTTGAGAAACGATCCACAACTACCATGATAGAATCTTTTTGCCTTTAAGTCCATGGTAAACCTAGAACAAAATCCATGGTTACATCTTCCCACGGTGCTTCTGGAATTGGTAGAGGCATGTATAATCCGGTATTCTGACCCTTGGATTTAGCTAAGTGACAAATTCTGCATCTTTGTATATGCCTGTTGACATCCCGTTCAAGACGAGGCCAGTAAAAGTTCTCCTTCACTAGATCAACTATTTTATCCCTTCCAAAATGTCCAGCTAATCCACCGTCATGTGCTTCCCAAATTATGGCTTCTTTTAAGGAACCCTGTGGAATATAGAGGGTTTTACCTCGAAATAAAAAACCATTATGCCTGTAAAACTGGTGGAAAGGTTGATTTACAGTTGCTTCCCACACTCCTTGGAAATCAGGATCATCCTGATACAACTCTTTGATAAGGTCAAATCCAACAACCTTGGTTTGCAATGTTGTAAGTAGCATATGGCGACGACTAAGGGCATCAGCTACGGAGTTCAGAGTTCCAGCCTTATGTTTGATAAGGAATGGATAAGATTGTAAGAGTTCACTCCAACAAGCATGTCTGCGGCTGATCTTCTGCTGGGAATTCAAATACTTGAGAGCCTCATGATCCGAAAAAAGTATGAACTCTTTATTTAGGAGATAATGACTCCAATATTGAAGAGCTCGGACAATGGCATAGAATTCCTTGTCATAGGTAGAATATCTGAGCTTGGCATCATTGAGCTTCTCACTAAAAAAGGCAATGGGATGGCCCTCCTGGCTTAAGACAGCACTAATGCCGGTGTTAGAAGCATCACAGCTAACTTCAAATACTTGGTCAAAATTAGGAAGAGCTACGACTGGAGCTTCGGTCAACTTCTTCTTAAGCTCCTCAAAGCTTTTCTGAGCTTGCTCTGTCCATTGAAACTTCTCTCCTTTGGTGCAATCTGTAAGTGGTGCGGCAATTGAGCTAAAATTACGGATGAACCTCCTGTAGAAAGAAGCTAATCCGTGGAAGCTTCGAACCTCCTGGATAGATTTTAGAATTAGCCAGCTGTCAATGGTTGCAACTTTGCTTGGATCAATGCAAACACCTTCCGCGGTAATGATGTAACCCAAGAACACAACTTCGTTGGTGAGGAAGGTGTACTTCTTGAGATTTGCATAAAGCTTCTGCTCATGCAAGGCTTGCAAAACTTGCCGCAAGTGATCTAAATGCTCCTCTTGATTCTTGCTATAAATAAGAATATCGTCAAAGTACACAACAATACCTGATTCATCAGGCGCATAAATGTGCTAGGGGGCATTTGTTAATCCAAAAGGCATCACATTCCACTCGTACAAGCCATCTCTGGTCTTGAAAGCGGTCTTCCACTCATCTCCTGGCTGAATTTTGATTTGATGGTACCCATTACGAAGGTCAATTTTGGAGAAAGTAGTGGCACTATGCAATTGGTCCAGCATATCATCAAGCCGAGGTATCGGAAATCGATACTTAATAGTGATCTTGTTGACGGCTCGACAGTCAATGCACATTCTCCAACTTCCATCCTTCTTAGGTACTAGAAGAACAGGTACAGCACAAGGGCTGATACTTTCTCGAACTAATCCTTTCTTCAACAACTCTTCAACTTGCCGTTGGACTTCGGCATGTTCCTGGGGACTCATCCTATAAGCAGGCTTATTAGGAATTACTGCTCCTGGAACGAAGTCAATGGCATGCTGTATGTCTCGCATTGGAGGCAACCCTGGTAGTATCTCATCGGATATTACATCTGAAAATTCTGACAATAACAGAATGACTCCAGGTGGATTGGCCGTCTCATCATTCACCTCAAGCACCAAAATAATGCTCATCATTTGGGCTTCAGATTTTGACACCTTGAATTCCTCCTCATTCCCTTTGTTGAGCCAGTGAAGCTTGTAAGCTTGTGGATGATCTTGTGTTGGCAACTTCAATTTCTCCACCATGTAGTTAGATACTACATTTTCACAGCTTCCACTGTCAATGATGACATTACAAACTTTTCCTTGGGCCGTGCAACGAGTGTGAAAAATGTTGCGTCGTAACCAAGGTTCTTCTTTGACTACTGTTGTATACAGACTTCGTCTAAGCACCAATGCTTCTCCTTGATCAGCAGGTGTGACCTCCTCGTCATATACGGGATCAGTGCCGTAGAACTCATCGTCCTCCTCATCTTCTTCAAGTGCTTCATACCCTGATCCTTCTCGAATGGTGACAACCCTTCGTGTAGGACAGTCCGCAGCAATGTGGCCAAATTCTTAGCATTTAAAGCATTTGATTGCTTTAGAACCAGATTCCTTGGCAGCATTGGATGGTGGTTTGCGCATAGCAGTAGGTTGTGGCTTGCTTGAGGAGTTAGTCTGCTGAAATTCTGCTTTACGGCCTTCTGGATAACTCCTAGAGGATGAAGGTTGGAAAGTGGATCTCTTGGGCATCTGCTTCTCAACACGCACGGCCAGACGGATGACATCATCCAAGGTCCAATATTGTTAAAGCTGGACTGGACGACTGATATCTGTGTTTAAACCTGCAAGGTACCGGGCTATTGTTTGCTCCTCCTTCTCCTGAATATCACACTTCATCATGAGTTGTTCAAACTCTCTAGTATATTCTTCTACAGATAAAGATCTCTGTCGAAGATTTTGCAACTGGATAAAATTATCCTGGTGGTAATGATCTGGTAAAAATTTCCTGGTGAGCTGGCGTTTTATTTTCTCCCAGGTTTCAATCTTGCGCTTTCCCTCACGTTCTCGCTTCCGTCTGAGGTTTTCCCACCAAATAGAAGTATGTTTCTTGAGTTTGAGGGCGACAATTTTGACTTTCTGCGCATCTGGAATCTTCTTGTATTCAAATACTCATTCAACAGTTTGTAGCCAATCTACAAACTCGTCTGGCTGGAGCCTTCCCTCGAATTCAGGAATGTCAACCTTGATGTCATTAAGGCGGAATTGTTGTTGTCGTGGGCGGCGGCAGTTTTCAGTAGATGACGAACTACTGCTTCCCGAATCTCTCTCTAAGTTTTCTCTGTTGTTATTTAACAGAGTTTGCTGCAATTCCACAGTGGCTTCCAATTCTCTTATCTTACGTCTCAACTCTTCCATCTCAACCTCGTGCACATGTCTACATCTTGGAGGCATTTTGGATAAGTGTCAAGGCTAGGGGTAAAGATTGGGGTGCAATTGGAAACGTTGAAGGATATAGGGGTAAAGTGAGATTTTTTTCAAAAGGCTAGGGGCAAAATGAGGATTTTGGACTGTCTAGGAGGTAAAATAGCGATTCTGGAAGAATGATGGGTCGAATTGAAATTTATGAAAATATAGGGGTTAAACTGGAATTCAGGTAAAATCAAGGGGCAAAAGTGTAATTTTAGGAAAGTTTAGGGGTTAAAATGGAATTTTTAAAAAATTTGGGGGTCAATATGAAATTTCATAAAAAATAGGGGTAAATTTGGAATTACTGAAAGATTTGGGGCGAAAATGTAATTTCTGAAAAGTTGGCTGACTGGGCACAGTGACGTGGCGACTGTGACATGTGGCAGAAAACTACTGGGCTGACCTGTCGTTGACCGGTCAGAACGATGACGTGGCAGCTGACGTCAGCATCTTCAACCTTCGGATGGCGCGTGAAGGCGCGTAGACCGGCGACGGTGGCGCGTGGCGGCGCGTGCGGCTGTTTCCGGTGACGGGGAACCTCTTGTTCCACATTTTCGGACCTCCTGAGCACGATGGTGATGTTAGTTTTCTGAGAAAATGCCTGGTTTGTAAAATGCGAAGACGTTAGGGACTCCTCCTCTGAATCTCTCTTCTTTCCGGCGTACTTTCTCAACTGTAACTCACTCTCTCGCTCTCTGGACCAGCTCTGATACCAAAAATGGCACAGAAACCGAATGAACAACAAGCAATTCTTATTCTCTGAAGTCTCCCTCTTTCACAAGTCTCAAGGTCCTATTTATAGTCCTAGAATTCGTGAAACTAAACCATACAAATTTAAAGGGGAGTTACAGAAGTTAAGGGGCGGTTACAAAGAGTTTATGATGCTCATTATGTGTGCCTTCCGTTTTAGCCCGTTTCTTGCTCTTTCTGTTTCATTCTGCTCTTTCTGTTTCAATTTCCCTTTTCAATGTTGAACTTGCATGAATCATTTTTTCGTAGCAATTCAATAATTTTCAAAATAAAATTCCACAATTAGAATTCAAACTTGCATTTATTGATTACCCAAAATGATCAATTCTAGTAAAATAATTTTACAAAATAAAGTAATTTAATCAACAAAATATCTCATAATCACATTGTTGTCATAAAAAGAATTTTCATAAAAATGTAATATTTGAATAAAAGAGATTTTAATGAAATATCAGTTGGGACGCTATCAACTTACCTGTGGAATCTTCAAAACTCAAAATTCATTTCTTACAACTCCAATCAAGCTACCTTCCTTACAATTACCTAATAAAGTATAATAATATTTTAATGAACTTTACTTTTGAATCAACAAATCTCTTTAAAGGGAATCCATTCAACAAAACAAAATAAAAATAACTTTAAAATTTTAGCAATAAAATTTATACGTAAAAGTTTTTCCTTAGGCTTTTTATCAAACATCTAATGTACGACATTCCAAACCATTGAATAAACATATAACTTTTAATTCTCTTGACCAATCATTTCCAAACATCTAAGTGTGACTTCTAAATTGATAATATACCTTATACACTCTTTAACTTTATAACTCTTGATAATTTCAAGACTTAGATAAGATCTCAATAATTCCTTTAATGAACTCCTTTGCAAAAGTCCAACTTAGATTTATAGGTAATACTATTTAAACACTACCATTTATGTCACTAATTTCCTCCATAATGTTTTAGCCATATCAACCTATTTACTTGAGATAACATTTTCTCTTCAATACATTGTTTCCAACCATACAATTAAAATTTTCTAACCTATCATATTTTATCCAACACTTTATTAATAACCATTCTATCCCCAAGAATTTAAAATCGCACACAAATTCATAATAATTAAATTCCTTTAATTTGTAATCTACAAGCTAAATTCATGAATCAATAACACTCAAACTAAATGTACCTATAACAAAAACTAATCAAATTTCATAAATCTAAGATATTCAAGCAAAACCCTCCTAGAGGTATTTTATTGAACACTTATCATCCATTAATTCTTAGACTAACACCAAACCTCTTCCCCTAAAATCTCATCTCCTATAATTCACAAAATTGATATCGAACTCAATTAACCAACCCAATTTCGATTCTTTAACAGAAAAAAATTTCAATTGGACCCTAAAGAAAATTAAATCTAATTCCTCTTCTTCAACATAAACACAAGTGCATTTATCTACCAACAATTACAGTCCCAGAACTAAATTTTCAGGTTGTTTAAATCCCATTACTCCTCCTATTTACGCATAGCAACAACAAGAAATAAGTCGCAACTCAGCCACATAACACACTCACATATTCAGCAAGAAGAATAAGATCCCATACACCCATCTCATTCAACGAAGCTAGCAGCAAGGTAAGGAAGTTAACTGAGCAAAATAGAGGATGAAACTAATACACCCATGGCTACCCACACTTGAACATAGTGACAACATTGAACTAAGAAGAAACAAGGGAAGCCATCACATGATTAAAGAATAGCAGAGGAGGAAGATCTTAAACCATAATAGTACCGGTAACAGTGGCAGACCAACGGAGGGGAAGAAGGACGAGCTCCACTCACTATCACCTAGACGACGCCGAAGGAGGGAGAAGAAGGAATCAACGGTGAAGCCTGAGCAAGGAGCGAGTAGGTCGACTTGAACAGCTTTCTCGCAGCAGCAGTAAGCTCCGATGATCTGAACACAGCAACTAAAGAGGAAGAAAAGGCAAAGACCAAGCATACTTCATCAACAGTGAGCAAAAGTCGACAGCAACCAAAGACAGGGGAGACGAGAAGCAGTACCGTTTCAAAGTAGATCCTCAACGGAGAGAAACAAGCAAGCTCAACGGCGGACGTATGACAGAAGAAAAGGAAAGATGCAAGCCAGCTGCGATGAGGGAAGAAATGAAGAACAACGACGAGGAGGAGATGAGCAGAGAATTAACGAAATGACTCTCGGTGGTTCTGGATCTTTCAAAAATGCCGAAGGAGAAGGGAAAACAAATGAGGCGGTGTGTGCTTATTGACCGAGGGAGAATATAAATATGAATTTTATGAAATTGCAAAAATTATAAAAGAGAGCCCAAAATTTCTTCTAATAACATATAAGATATGAACATTTTGGTAGTTTTTCACAATCTTAAACTAAGTGAAATTAATCTATTTTAAAATAAATTTAAATGTTAGACTTTCAAGTAAGCTATTAGTATAAGTTTCACTAACTCACCCCTCTCCATTTGCCATAATATTAATTTAAATAAAATATAAATTAGGTGAATTTTTTTTTAAAAAAAACTTAAGGTCATTGCATTAACTTTGCATGGGAACATGGCAGCATTTGCTCTCGATGTCAATCTGATAAATAGAGCAGAATGTAACTTTTGAATTATATAATATTCTATCTACAAGCATTTCGTGGATTCTTATTGTTTTGGACCTTCCTTCTATTTTTAATATTTTTCTGTAACCTTCAATTTGAATGGGAATAAAGGTTAAGAGGAAAGAAAATAAAAGAAGAAGAAATGAGGGGAAAAAAAGAAACAATTGAAAAGAAAATGTTATCATTTCTTGTAGTTTGGATAGATGAGAAAATTGAGAGAAAAGAAAATAGGCAAATATCACAAAAACTATAATACTTTTTATATTAAAATATATCATGTTTCATGTAATTATCATTATAAAAATAAATTGAAGGTAGAAATTAAATTAAAATCCACATCATAAAATTAATTTAAAACCAAAAGAATTGTTAAAAAAATGTATTTCAATGTAATGATATTTTAAAAACAATAATTTTGTGAAAATATCTTATTTTTATTTAAAAAATTTAATATTTAAAAAATAAATATAATAAAATAAAAAATATATATTATACACTATCCAACATTATCAATAAAAAAAACTAGATTATCCAGTATTATCAATTAAAAAAAATAAAATATCAAGTATAGAGACGCAACAATCATGGAATTGCAAACGAAAAAAGTTTGGGGAAATGGCATACCAATGAAAAATCAGCTAGCAAATCCACAAAAACTCAACACGGCAGACCAGCTTCAAAAATGATTTTACTTCAAAAATGGAAAAAGGAGAAAGAGGAGAACAGATGGTTAACGAAATTGTACTCCAAAATCTCTCCATTTGTGAGAGAAAATTTGGGAGTTATTTCAAAATAACCATTATATAGTTTTAATTATATACGATATAACCATTATATAAATGAAACTATAAAACAATTGCTATATAGTTTGCTGAGCAACCTGTAAAAAAGTTAATTAAAACTGGAGCTAACTAAGGATGTGGATTCTCTCCATACTCTCTCTCAATACATTTCTCCATACCCAATCTTAACCATTCATTTAATTATTATATTTTGAATTTTAGTGTGAGATTACTAATTATAACATTAAAATAAGTATGTTATTCACTATCATCACTTAAAATAATTTCAAAAATAAGATCACAATGCTTATTAATGATAACAATTAAATGAATAGTATATTTATTTTAATGTTGTAATTAGCAATCTCACATCATTAAATCAAAACAATAATTAAATGAATGGTCGAGATGGGTATGGAGAGATGTATTTTTAGATAGTATGTCAAAACTAGAACAAACTATATAACTTATATTCTGAAATATATAGTCTTAGAATATATATAACAGTTAAAAACTATTTTATATATATTGACAAAAATAACTGCGATATAAATTTTTTTTTGCAATAGTGCAATCCCAAACTTATGAGGTGAGACAATGAGAGAGTACTAATACTCTTTGTAACATCCTGATTTTTTTTTAGATAAAAAAAATTGTTGTGAAATTTAGTTTTTATTTAAAAAATAAATAAATAATAATAATAGGAATTTATATTATTTGAAGTTATTCAGAAATAATAATATGGTTAGAAATTTAATTATGAATTAAAAACTTAGGTTTAAAATTATATAAGAAATATTTTGTTAAGATATAATTTTAAGATTTAAAAAAAATTATTATGTGTGTGTGAGTTTAAAAAAAAAGAAAAGAAAGTAAAAAAAAAATGAAAGGGGGGTGTAGAAGTCCCCACATCGGTTAGATGTGGGATGAGGAAAGGATTCCTCATGTATAAAAGAAAGCGAGAGCGTGCAGAGGAAGGAAGAAAAGAAAAGTTTATGCAATTGTGAAAATTACAACTAAATGCCCAAGATGCAATTTAGAGAAAATTACAAGTAATGGCCCAAAAGTTTGAATAATTAAATTCAACCTATAATTTTTTTAATATAATTTGGGGACCCACAATCCCATTTTTATATTATTTTTCTCTCTTCCTCTCACGTTGCTCGGCGTCTTCTTGCAAGGGGGGATTATTTTCTTTTTCTTCATGTATGTTCTAACTTTCCTGTTTAAATTAGCATTTAAAAATTTATTTAATTAAAAATTAATTTTATAGTTATTTTATAAATAATATTAGCTTTCTAGTGATATGATTATTTTGTAGGATAGAGTAAATATTCTGATTAAGATTTTTCTATAGGATAGTTAATCTTATGATATGATAGAATAAAAATATAGGTTAAAGCTCTTAGGGATATAATAAATATTATAGAATATTTTCTTGAGGTTGAAACTCATGTTTAAGAATTTTTGAGTTAAACTCTAGATCTATATGGTTGAATTTATGTAGAATCTGAGATGTAGGGATGAACCTCTAATTATTAAATATTTATTTAAGTATGAATATGTATTTTTAGGATATAGAAAGGTGATTTGAGGCTTCAGAATAATTCTAAAATTTTTAATTTATTTTTGGATGAATTTTTAGAAAATAGAAGGATGAAACTGTGATACTAGAAGTGATTTGAGGCTTAAAAATAGTTTATTAGGGTACGAGAATTTTAGAAAAGAATTTGAAAAGTTAAATGAGGCATAAATCTTAAATTAGTGTTAATATGGATTATAAATCCAAGATTTTTAAACTCTTTAAATTAGAATTATTTATTAATTTTAATGTAAAATTAATATATAGTATTGTGAAATAATTATGTAGATTATATTGACAAAGATAGTGGTGAAAAAGGAGTTGTGAAGGGGAACTTGTTATTCAAGACACAAGGTAACCATTATTAATGTGTTGTGATGGGCGTGTTTGTGAATGGTTATGTGTTGTTTTGTTGTTTACAAAAAATTATGAATTATTGAAAATAAATACTGTATATACTTATTTGAAATTATTGCTAAGTGGGTTAAAAATTTATTTTTGTTTATCATGATGAGATATTATTGTTCGGATATATTCCTGTTTGGATATTTGAATGATGCATGACTTGTCAGGGTATTTTAAATGTATGGTGTTAATGAAAATTTCTGTTCGGTTAATTATTACCACGTGGTAAGCCCTCATTGGACCCAATGAGTGGCGTGTCGCTTGGTCCAACTCACCTTTGGCCGAGTGATTTGGCGTCTGAGCATGGCGAAAGGAGGATATAAGGTGTAGTTATGCGAATTAGATACTTGTTCGGTTTGTTTGAAAGTATTGTTCGTTAAATGTTTTGTGTGCCCCACTTAGCAATCGCATGATTAGTTACATCCGCATGCATCATTACATATTAATTTTTGGTTATGGGACTTTTAAGTCTCATTCCCCGTGGTTAATATTTTACAGGAGCGAGTCCAGCCGAGAAAGCACCAGAGGTGTAACTATGGTGTATGAGACACCATCTTTTACGTTGCCTTTTATTTTGGATTATACAATGTATCTTGTGCCAGCTTAAGACATATCTTCTTTGTGAAGCATGTAAACTCTAAGCTTTTTTTATTAAAAGTATTTATATGACCAAGAGGATTATGTCTGTCCCTCTTGATGTATGATCTGATTTGAATATCATGCCATGAGGATTATGTCTGTCTCTCATGGTTTTAATTTCTTTTTTTTTGGATAATTTGAGACTTGTGTTATGTCTTGGATGTATCATGGTAAGAAAATTTGCTACCACGATAATGGTTTTTAATAATTTACGAAAAATCGGTTGTAAATTTGAGGGTGTTACATATTGGTATCAGAGCATCATGTTTCGAGCCTCTATTTTAGTAACACTTATTTAAACTTTTGTTTGAAATTATTATTTGTGTGAATTTAATATGTATTTATTATGTGTGGTGCATTGCATATAGTCGGTTGGCAATATACATTGTTATGGTGCTTCTCATTGTATGGCCATTATATAGCTAGGCTAATTTTATTATTTATATCTTGTATCCTTTAGGAAGGGAGAGAAAAATGCCTGTTACTCGTGGTAACTCAGGATTCCAACATGAGCACCTACCACTGCCACTGCCAAATGAGGAGCCTGACTTGGCGGAATTGAGAATGCTTGTAAAAACATTAACAGACAAGGTTCAAGGATACAAACAAGAGTTGACGAGCTTAAGAGGCAAAAGGTAACTAAAAATGGAGATAGGGCTCATGTTGAGAGTCATCTGGGGGAAGGCAGTTCCTCACATCCTGCCACTCTGAGAGATCATGAGTCTAGAAGGGAGGAAACTAGGCAAGAGGAACAGAGAGCCCCATCGACCATTACTGATGTATGGGAAACTGTTAGGAAGTTTAACCCTCCTATATTTGATGGTAACCTTAAACCATCCGTGGTAGAGGAATGGGTGAAGAGACTCGAGTCCATCTTTCGAGTAGTCACATGCACCAGCAATCAGAAAGTACAAGTAGCATTAGTGCTCCTAGTGAAAGGAGCAAGAGATTGGTGGGAGACAGCAGGGCCTAGGGATGATTCTACACTCACCTGGGAGGAATTCAAGGAAAAATTATTCAGACATTACTTTCCATCAGAGTTAAGGTTTGAAAAGGAAGCTGAATTCCATGCCTTAAAGCAAGGGAACCTCGATGAGGACACATTCATTGCTAAGTTTCAGGAGTTATCTAGATACTCCACGTACCTGCAGTATAGGGATGATTCTGAATGGAAGGCCAAGCGATTATTGAGAAG